CTTTTTTTTTCTTTTTTTTCCCCTATAATTATATTTTATTAATTTTCATAAACATTTACAGAGATTTTGGGCTTCCACTCATTCATTGTTGCACTTATATATACAAATATATCTAAACATACATAATCATAAATATATAAAAAGCTCTTTGCCATCAAGTTGGAACTGACTCATAGTGGACCACGCAGCGGGTCTTTCGAGGCCGTACCCTGCATAGGAGAAGACTGCCCATCTTTCTCCCGCTGAGTCCCTGGGTGGGTTTGAACTAGCAGAGACATGCATCTTTTGGTTTATCAAACCAATCTCTATGGACTATGCTACCAGAGCTACTGTACATATACTTTTGTGGATCAGAAATACCCTTAAAATGAATTTTGTTCCGGAATGAGCTTATATTCCTGTAGAAGCTAAGGAATAGTTAATACTAGATTAAACTAATAAGAATTCCTTCTTAACAGCCTCCTTCAGGCTAAGTAACTCCTACCTCCCAGTCTCAGAGTCCCACACGGCAACTGTATGATCAAAGGAGCCTGTTATGATTCTGTCTCCGGCTGTGTTGAAGGACAAGGAGATGATTTCTGCTGCATGTCCCTAGAAAGAAAGAGACTGTCATGTGAACTCATGGATAAACTATTTCTACACATGTACAATACTAAGGTGCACCTGATTCTGGCAACAGTCTTTTCAGTCACTTGCAGCGTATCTGAGAGCTGGACCATTGAATACGGATGAGAGAATTAATGCCTCTGAGCTGTGGTGCTGGAGAAGAGGACTCAATATCCCACGGAATGCCAAAAGAATAAACAGATGTGTCTCGGAGAACGTGCTGTCAGAGTGCTCCTTGGAAGCAAAGATGATGAAGCTTTGTCTCACAGACTTTGGACATATTGTTAGTAGAGATTATTCCTTGGAGAGGGACAGGCTTGGAAAGGTAGAAGGTCAGCAAAAAAGAGGAAGACCTTCAATAAGATGGGCTGACCCAGCGGGCTCAAGTGTGTCAGAGACTGAGGATGACACAGGTGCTGAAGGTTTCAAATGTATCATTCACAGGGTCGCTATGAGTCGTAGAAGACTCAACAGCACCTAACAACAAGAGGAAATGACTGAAATGCAAAGTACAAGAGACAGAAAGTCATCACAGCTGCCTTGGGCAAGAGGTCCTTGGTTAGTCAAAGGGTTAATGAACTTTACTGCCAAGGAGAAAGTTAGAAGTTCTAGTCCATGAGAGGAATTTCTTAGTTGTTGAAATTGACGGAAAACCTCATAAGCAGTTCCTTACTTCATCTCTGCCTTACATGCGGACTTCTGAGCTGTAAAACAACCCAGTGGTGGATGGAATTTGGTCCAGGACTTAAGAACAATAAATGACATAGTTGAGCCTCTGCAACTTGTGGTTCCTAACCTTTATACTATAATAGACAAAGTGCTAATCAATAAGCCTTTTATTTTAAGAACTACCTTCCCTCTGTGACTTGATTTGTGCCACTGTTAGAACCTCTATTATTGCTTTTAATTTTTGACTCATGTACTTTTAACTTGTTAGTTAAATTTGTGTCTTCTAGGCTGTAACAGTTCCATGATGCATCTTCAAGGATATGAACATGTATGGCTAAGCACAATTGATAACAGTGCACCTAAATTCCAAAATCAATCTCCACAATAGTCTACGTGTTTCCTATTGCCAAAGGGGCCCTTTAGAGTAGTGAGAGAAGATCTTCACCCTAAAACCTACAGCATCCCTTTTCAGCAGGAAGTAGCTAAGAGAATACGCCATCCCCTTTTCCTTATGAATCAGGATGAAGTCTCTATCAAGGAGGAGTGATAGGGAATGGCAAAGGACACACTGACAAAGGAGATTAATCAGAAGTGCTTTTGACAAGCACTGTGGCAATGGGACAATTAAAACAGACTTTCAAGGGGGGAAAAAAAGAGGAACTAACTGGAGGGGTAGAGAAAATAGTTCAACAATGAATGAACAGAAATCCAAAATCTCTGTAAATGTTCATTAAAATTAATAAAATTAAAAAAAGAAGAACATCAGAACTAGGCACTCAAAACCCTAAAAAAAAAATAAAGAAGAAGAACACTAGAGCGAGCTACTTCTCAAACTCAGGCACTCAAAACCCTATGGACCAAATAAATAAACACCCACTACCAAGTGCAGCAGAGGCCCCTGGTGGCCACTAGCATCCTCACCGCCCTGCTATCCGGTGAGCAGACAGTCTTAACTGAACACTGTGACACTGATGTGTCAAATGCTATAATGGCTACCCATGGTGGACAGTGTTTGTTGGTGCTCCCCGATTAAACAAGCGTGGAAGGAGGAGTGGCATCCACTTCCATAAACAGCTTGCCTCCGGAAACCCTATGAACCTGGAGAGAGGATGAAAGTCACGCAAGTGTCGAGGACTTTCATTCATAGGGTCGCTATGAGTCGCCTACGACTCGACAGCACTTAACAACAACAACAACCAAGTGCAGCCGAGTCACTTCTGACTCATTGTGTTTCCAAGACCATTAATCTTTCCAGGAGGGAACAGACCACCTTTCTCCCACAGAGCCGCTGAGGGTTTTAAACTGCCAACCTATGCGTTAGCACTCGACGTGTCACACACTACATCACCCGGATTCCTTACAGCAGACAGCAGATGGGGGAAAGTGTTTAGGGAGGGAAACATGTAACAATGAATGAATGGAAATTCAAATTTTCTGTAAACTTTCATTAAAATATCAATAAAGAATATTTTTTAAAAGAAATCTGTAATGCTTTATAAAGGAAATTCATAAAAGATGGCATTTTACACGAAATACATATTTGAATGCCTAAGCTTTCAGTGAACTTTCACCTGGTCACTGCCTGGGGCAGGTGGTCATGCAGAAGAGGACACCCACAGGACGATGCCTCCCTCCACAGTGTGTACCCCTAGGGGATATCCCTGCGTCCCCTAATTATTTCAGTAAATTAATAATCAGTGCATTTCTAAGTACTACAAAGGGTCAGAAAAGTTCATGTTCAAATTCATTTTTCCAGCTGGTTCCAAATGGCAATAATGAGAAACAGTTGAGCACTGGGATTCTAAGCCTGCTCTAGTGGGAGGTGGGCCCAGTGTGGAGCCCCCCCTTCAGATGTGCTTAGACCCATCAGAGAAGCGACTGGGACTCAGCTGCCAGCGTTTGTGAGGATTTTTCCTTTCATATCTGCCTGAGAGAAGAGGCTGGATGAGAGCCGAGACCCAAGAACAGCGTAAAGCGAGGCGGAATGGAGCGTGCTGTCATAGGTGCTGCACAGGCCTCAGATGCGAGGAGGAAGCCCCCCTGATGTCACGGACACATGGGGCCTTTTCTCTTCTCAGTCCGTTCTTTTCCGTTCTTTTTCCACTTGCCTTATAAAAGCAAATGCAAGGGGAGCTCTGGTGGCCTAGTGGCAAGGAGCTGAAACTACAATTCCAGAGGTGCATGGTTCTAATCCACCAAATGCTCTGCCAGGGAAGGAGGGACAATCTCCTCCCGTACCAGTCAGATGGTACACTCACACAAAAATAATAAAAATTAAAAAAAAAGAAAAGCAAATGCATTCTTTTCTTTTTCAACCCATTGGGAACTTTGGAAGGAGAACAAGGCAACGCTTGCCTCTCCAACTGTCCCACAGATACTGAGGGACAGTCCTGGTCTTGCTTTGGTCATTGAGACAAGGTGAAGTGGAGGGTGACAGGTGACAGGAAGGCGCTGGAAGCTTGGTGGTGGCCAGTCAAGGGTCCTGGGTGGTCGGTCTCTCCAAAGGCATTAAGTCTGTGAGGCAGTGCCCTTTGACCTTTTCATCATTTATCTCTTGCCTGTTCGCATCTCACACTTCATCCTAGAGGGTCCCAGACCGAGGGCATTGAGGAGAAGGCTGTGGATTGTCGCCCATTAAAGGAATCTTCTGGAAGAGTTCTCCAGTTCTTCTTCCGATAAGTACTGGCCTCTGGTGCTTCTTTGTTTTCACTCAGGCAAATGATGGTGAATCTTAGGTGGTAGGTTGTGTCCTACAGACTGAAGTCAGTCAGAATAGAATGCTCACCTGCCTCCCCCGCACGTCATCCAAGACTTCTGCAACAGCTGTCAACCTAAGCAGGACAGCATTGCAGACTGATCCTAAACTCAAAGAGCTAAAAAACATCTTCTAACCTAGAATGCACTTTGTAACAGAAATGCAAAAAATCTAACACAGCACAACGTGAGCGACACTGAACAGACAAAGCGCTCGAGACAGACGTTGCCAACATACCGACAGGGTGCACACCTCCTCTCCACTCTGAATGTCCCACAGTTTAGCGGTTGTGTCCATGCTCCCCGTGGCCACCAGCGTGCTTTGGGGGTTAAAGGATAAACACACCTGAAACACAGAAGAGCTTTTAAAGAAGTGGGTGTCACACGGTTACTCTCACGGTTGAACCACTTAGGCAGATGCCATATAGATCCTTGTTCAAATGCACAGCAAGACCGCTCAGATGGGCAAGCTGTCCTTCCTGGCTGGATCCTGAGGTGATACCCCTGAGAAGGAGCCGTGTTCTCTTCTGCACCACCCCACCCTCCGACCGTCTCAGGTGTGGAGGGCACTGGGTCTGCTTCCATCTGGTGCCCTGAGCACAGAGGACAGAGCTTCACACAAAGTCAGCATTTAGTATTTACTGGATGGGTGGTACTGACTGTGAAAATATATTTAGATAGCCCCCTGTCGTCTTGTTTTGTAGCTTCGAGTCAGAACCAACCCATAGTTGACCCTCCAGTGGGTCTTCAGGGGCAGTTAACAGCAGAAGAGGAGATTACCCATCTTTCTCCCACAGAGCAGCTAGTGGATTTGAATTTCATACCTTTAATTTGGTAGTGTGATTCCTTACCACTAAGCCTTCTTTACCAAGACTCAAAATTTATCAATGAATGAATACTATTAAAGAAAAAAAAAGCTAAGGTGGAGGGAAGGGGAAGGAGGGTGAGGGAGTAAAATGTGCAACAATGAATGAATGAAAATCTAACTTCTCTGTAAATGTTCATTAAAATCACAAGTAAAATAAATTATTTTTTTTAAAAAAAACTCCTTATCTCAAGTGTAGTGGGTAGATTGTAGGGAGGGAGAAGGAATGTGAAAGATTTAATTGGAACTTGAAGAGATGTTATAATAGTGGGAACAGATCAAGGATGATTTAATGGGATACAGTGTATATGAATGATTATGTGAAACACATGTAACTGAGAGATAATGTGGAACACAATGTATATGAATGAAACACAACATAAACTAATCATTGTATGAAAACCAATGAAAAAAGGGAAACAAAAACTTGTGTCACATCCTTTGGGCAAGCTGTCAGGACAAGGTAAACCTTGGAAAAAGCCATCTGTGCTCAGAAAGGCAGAGGGTCCTCAAAAGAGCAGAGGACCTTCAATAAGATGGAATGACCGCACCAGTGGGCTTGAACCGGGTAGAGATCGTGGGATGGTACGGGATGGGGCAAGATCCAGTCCGTGGTTCCCAAGGTAGTGCAGGGGGCTGGGCTGCTAACACGAAGGCAGCACCTCTGCTGGTTCAAATCCACCATCTGCGAGAGAATGACCGGTAATGTCCCATGGGAGCTGCAGCTTCTGCAAACTCCCTCTGCGCTGGCTCCAACTTGTTGCAAGTAATGAGTGAGTGAGGTTAGTCACAGACAACTCAATGACACCTAATTTTATATAAAGATATATATATATAAAATAAAGATATATAAGATATATAATAAAGATATATAAGATATATATAATAAAGATATATAATATATATAATAAAGATAAATAATATATATTTTTTCCAAACATCCAAAGTGTACGTAAGCATGTATGATCACAATAGGAGGACAGGGATTATATCCTTCTGTGTCCTTGTGCAAATGACTTCAACTCTAGGCAATTCAGTGTCCCCAAGCATTAAACAGAGGCATAACAACACCTACTGGTTGTGGCTGTGATACAGCCACGCTTATCAATGCAGGGGGCACAGTTAAGATAGCCATGCACGTACCATCGTGCAATAAAGTGCCCCAAGATGGGTATAATACATCACGACTTTGAAGGATGATCATAAATAAAAGTTACCCCTGAAGAGCCGCCTGTCTATTTTTAAAGGCTATTGCTGGTTTCCCAGGGTGCCAATTATCTCACTAATTGCTATAAAATGTAATACAGAATTGGCCAAGGGCAAGGGCTTCCCAAAAGTGAAAGCTATTTAGAGTACCAGAGCAATTTGGGGTAATTTGGACTCTAATGATATTAAGCAAACATTCAGCCTAAATATTTTCAATGTAATAAAATTGATCTGAAAAGTGACTTTAATAACTTCACCACCCCTCACCGCCCTTTGAAGAGAATGCCATGAAGAAGAAAAAGGATGGACCACGTATTAGAGTCACGTGCTTACCATGCTATTATTGTTGTTGTTACATGCCGTCAAGTCACCTGCGACTCATAGTGACCCTGTATACAACAGCCCTAAACTCTGCTCTGTCCTGTGCCTATCTCCCCATCTCTGACACACCCGCCCCCATTACCCCAGTCACTGAATCAATCCATGTTGTTGTTGTTGTTAAGTGCCGTCGAGTCGTTTGTGACTCATAGCGACCCTATGTACAACAGCCCTAAACCCTGCTCTATCCTGTGCCAATCTCATTGCCTCTGACACACCCATCCCGATTACCCCAGTCACTGAATCAATCCACCTCATAGAGGGTCTTCCCGTCCTGCGCTGTCCCTCTACTTTACCCAGCATGATGTCCCTCTCCAAGGGCCTGTCTCTCCTTACAACATGTCCAAAGTATGTCAGACGAAGCCCCAGAATCCTTGCCTCCAAGGAGCAGCCTGGTTTAACCCTCTCTAGGTTGAATCTGTTTGTTTTCTTGGCAGTCCATGGTACATTCAATACTCTTCTCCAGCACCACAGCTCAAAGGCATCAATTCTCCTTCTATCCTCCCTAGTCATTGTCCAACTCTCTGATGCATAACAAGTGATTGCAAAAACCATGGCCTGTATCAGGAGCACCTTAGTCTCCAGAGAGACACCGTTGCTCTTGAGTACTTTAGAGAGGTCCCTAACAGCAGTCTTTCCCATCACGACACGTTTTTTTATTTCCTGGATACTGGTGCCAAGAGTGTTGACCGTGGAGCCGAGCAAACTGAAGCTGTGAACAATCTCAATCTCTTCGCCATCCATCCTGATGCTACCGATTGGTGCAGTGGTGAGAATTTTTGTCTTCTTGATATTGAGCCTCAGTTCATACTGAAGGCTGCAGTCCTTGACCCTCTGCAGTAAGTGCATGAGGTCCTCCTCAGTTTCAGCGAGCAAAGTTGTGTCATCTGCATAACGCAGATGGTTGATAGATTGTCCACCAATCCTAATGCCATGCTTCTCCTCATAGAGCCCAGCCTCTCAGATAATCTGCTCTGCATACAGGTTGAAAAGGTATGGAGATAGGACACATCCCTGGCGTACACCCTTCCCAATTTTGAACCATGCAGTGTTACCCTGCTCTGTTCTGATGACTGCCTCTTGGTCCAAGTATAGGTTTTGCATTAGCATGATTAAATGTTCTGGGATTCCCATTCTTCTCAGAGTCAGCCACAGTTTGTTATGATGCACGCAGTCAAATGCCTTTGCATAGTCAATGAAACACAGATAGACATTCTTCTGGTATTCTCTGCTTTCAGCCAAGATCCATCTAACATCAACTACAATATCCCTGGTACCACGACCCCTTCTAAACCCAGCCTGGACTTCTGGCAGTTCTCTGCTGATGTGCTGTTCCAGTCGTTTTTGGATAAGCCTCAGTAGAATCTTGCTTGCATGTGAAATCAATGAGATTGTTCTGTAGTTTCCACACTCAGTTGGGTCGCCCTTCTTTGGGATGGGAACAAATATAGACCTCTTCCATGCTACACTCCTACTTAATCAGTGCAAGCTGGGACTTGGGTAGTGTCTGCAAGATGTCACAATTGAAGTAATTTTTAAATTGCTGTCAACACCATCATCTAAAAAGTGCTGTTGAGTACTGTCCAGTCAGAACCGACCCCTGGCGACCCTCCAGTGGGTTTTCAGAGGTGGTAAATTACACAGGAGGAGACTGCCCACTTTTCTCCCAAGGAGCAGCTGGTGGATTCGAACCGCGTGCCTCTGTGATGGCAGCACAGCTCCTTACCACAAGGCCATCAGCACTCCCTGATAGAATATATAGCCTGATCCGTTTCTTCTCCCTGTGGCATCAGAACTAAGAGCTGACTCTCTGCTGGGTTTCTGAGGTGCTACAAGGGAGGAGATCGCTCATCTTTCCTCCACAAAGCAGCTGTGGATTTGACTCTCTGGAGAGGTTTGGACGTTGGGTTAGCAGTTCAATTCCCTCTGCCCACCAGAGAACATGATCTCCCTCAACTCAAAAAGCTCAAACTCATTGCCATCAAGTTGGAACTGACCCATGGCTTATCCTCAAATGGGTTTTCAGAGGCTATAAATCTCATGGGAGGAGATCACCCATCTATCTCCTGAGGAGCAGCTGGTGGATTTGAACCACGGGCTTTAGAGTTGACAATGCAACTCTCTACACAGTAGGCCAACAGAGCACAGAGTAAATTGTTATTGTTGTTATGTGCCGTCTAGTCAACTGAGACTCATGGTGATCTTATGAACAAGAGCTCTGAAGCCTGCCCCGCACCAGCACCACAACTCAAAGGCATAGATTCTCCTTCCATCATCCTTGGTCATTGTCCAGCTCTCTGATGCATAGCAAGTAACTGTGAAGCCCATGGCCTGAATCAGGTGCACCTAAGACTCTAAACTGACATCATTGTTTCTCAATGCTCTGGAGAGGTCCCTGACAGGGGACTTCCCCAATGCAATTCTTCTTTTGAATTTTTAACTGCTAGTGTGAAGAGTGTTGACTGTGGAGTCAAGTAACTGTTAACCCCCTCAATCTCTTCTCCATCTATCATGGTGTTGCCAACTGGTCCAATAGCGAGAGAATCTCTGAGTAAATTAGACAATACATTAGAAAAGGTCAATCCAATAGTTTTATAACAGAACTTTGAATGAGGAAAGAGCTACATAAAGAACGTAAAGGTTCAATATACTCACTATTTCTGCTGTGTGGCCCCGGAAGGTATAATAACACTTCCCTGTCTCTACACTCCAGAGTTTACATGTCTTATCAAAGGAACCAGTGGCAATTTTGTCACTAAAATAAAAAAAAATAGATGTGATTTTTTTTAATACAATGTACAGTACTGATGCACTGAATTAAGACAGGAGATAATAATATATGAATCTAGCCAGAATGCCCTTAGAAGGATGATAGGCCTTCAGATCACATAATTTCAACTTGTTATGAGACAAGATCAGTCCTCAGCAAAGGGCATTGTTTTGGTAAAATAAAGGGGCAGTGAAAGAGAGGAGACGCTCAACAAGACAGACTTGACACAGTCGTTGGAACAATGAGGGCGAACACGGCAGCAACTGCAGAGGGTCAGTGTGGGGGAAGCTTTGCTCTGTGGTCCTCGGGGCTGCTCCGACTTAGCACCGACTCTGGCATCTAACGACATTTAGAAATTCACTTCACCTTTAGATGCCAGATATGATAAGGATGACACAAGACAGGCCAGGGTTTAGATCTATTGTTCTTAAGGTTTTTATGAGTGATACTTGACTTGGCATCTGACAGCAAAATCATCATCAACCCAGTAGGTCGCCAGAGCTCCCAAACTAGGTAAAAAAAAAAAGCAAAGATAAGAGTCTGAAAGTGTTCCCATGATTACAGTTATATGTTCTGAATAATTGTGGATATCTACTCCACTCCAAGTTGGGGGGGAAAAGTAAACGTTTTTTATCTTAGTAGACATTAAAGAGATTTGAAACCATATAATAGGCCATGAAATTGTACATAAAATTAAAATCTATAGATGTAAAAGAGGTACAATAATTTGCTGTTGCAAAGCGTCCTCTTTTTCTTATTATTTATAAGATGCAGAATTTGCAGTTAGGAAAGGACTATGAGTAAGTATATGTATAAATCGAAATGTAGTAACAAAAGAGGGAATGTGAGAATTCTAGCTAAAAAGTTGGCAAAGCTTTATTTGTCCCATTGGCTTTATTAAAATGGAAATAAAGAGAAAAAAGAAAACATCATGCCATGTATAATCATAAATTTACTTATTAATCAATTTCACACATCTAGTCTTGCCAAATAAAGCTCTAAAATTAAAAAAAAAAAAAGAAAAAGAAAGAAATTCACTTCACCTTTAGAACATCAATCCTCTAGTTCGGTGGACAATGAGGTTGAGGACCCGTTTTTAAAATGCTGTAACTTTTAAGTTACAAGTTTTTCTTTTAAAGATCTCTACACTAAAGGACAGGAGTAGCATCCACTTCCTCAACAGCAAACCTGGAAACAACTTTCCAGTTGCCTCTGGCGACTGTGAACTTTGATAAATGGCGATGAGTGTGAGAGGGTGTTGGGCCTTTTGTTCACAGAGTCGCTATGAGTTGTGCCCGACTCAAAGGCAATCAACAGCAACATTAAAGGTATAAGTGGACTTGTTTAGGATTGTAATAATTTTTTTAAATGTACACAGTATATTTGAGTTAGTACCAAGGAGTTTAGTGAATTTCTACTAAACGAAAATCAGCACTTTTCACTTTACAGACCAAGCATTGCACAAACACAGGAAAATTCAGTTAACATTACTCGCACAAAGGATAATACTGATTCACATGGAGAAAAGTGAAAAAAAAAAAACAGTATAGGCATGTCACACTAATTTTATAAAATATAATGAACTGGAATGATTGTATAAAACACTATGCGAATGATGGATAGTTGAAACACAATGTATACAAACTTTGCAAGCAAACCAATATAAAATACAGATTACAAAGAAAATCTGTTTTATGCCACATCAATTTCTTTTAAGTTCTTGGTTTATTCTTTTTTTAAATTTTAGTGAAGGTTTAAAAAATATTGGCTCCATTCACTTATTCATGGGCACTTAACACCCCCACCTCCCCAGTTTCCCTTGGAATCCTTGTCCTGTTTCAGGCTATTAATTGACAGATATGTGGTTGCTAATTGTCCAGTCCTTTCTCATTTCATTGTTCTAACAGAAACCCCTACATTAGTCCTGTTTCTGCTAAACAGAAGAAATCCAAGGGAGATTTTCACTTTTATGAACAAAGGAGAGAAGTTGAACCAGTATCCTGCCGGGGATTGGCGCCCATCGCCTCCTGTGACCTGCAGCCTTGGAAACGCAGGGGGGCAGCTCGGCCATGTGTTGGCTGCAACTTGATGCCCGTGAGGTGAGTCTGAGCTAAGCAGGTAGTGTGTGCACCTCAAGCAGCAAAAGGCCTGTGTCCAAGCTTCTTCCCCAGGAACCACACTCACATCTCACCCTCAAGTGGCCGGAGCTTGGAACTCTGTCTGTGAACATTGGATGCTGGGTGTGATTTTAGGGTTTACGTGTCATCTGGTAACATCTGGTAGGTGATACAGGGGACTGAGAACCCTCAAAATTTTTTGCATATGATGTAATGCTAACTGCTTCCTCACTTTCTGCCATTTTGGTTTACAAAAGGTTTCATGGGAATGCTCTCTTCTCAGACATGGTGGCCTGGTGGTAAGAGGCTGTGCTGCAATCCCAAAGGCATATAGTTCCACCAGCTGTTCCTTAGAAGGACAGCCTCCTCCTGGGTGATTTACCGCCTCTGAAAACCCACTGAGGGTCAGCTATGAGTCAGTTCTGAATCGATGGCACACAACAATGACAACACTCTCAGATAGTGAGAGTTAATCTCATTAACCAAAAGGCTAGATAGCGAATAGATAATATATTCCCCTTGGGAAAATGATACCAATAATAGGTGAATTGTAAGGTTTTTGTAAAGGAAAGAGGGTTGAGAGGGAGATGGGGCAAAGACTTCAGCCATTTCCAAACAGGAGAGTCGGCATGTTTACAGAGGCGCAGGACAACACTCGGTGAGGAGACTAGCCTGGGAAACACCTTCTCCTTTGCCCTGACTTCTCACATCTGTCCTTAACAACAAATACTCACAATGATCCTTCTTTCCGGGGCAAGCTCACTGTTCATAGTTTCCGGGGTCTGAAAGACACAACTGCTATCCTCTAAATCAGGAGCCTTGGTGCTTAAGAGCTAAAAGGACAACTGAAAAGCTGGGGCTTCAAAACCACTAATGCTCCACAGGACAGAGACATGGTTGTCTGCGTCAATAAAGGATCACAGCCCTGGACAGCCTGTGGGCAGTTCTACTCTGACCTGTGGGATCACAGCCCTGGACACCCTGCAGGCAGTTCAACTCTGTCCTATGGGTTGACAATGAATTGGAATCGACTTGAAGGAAGTGTGTTTCTGTTGGCTGGTGAAGCCAATGTCAGTGCTCAGCCCAGCCACAGAGTGTCCACCTGGCCAGCCTCACACTGACGCATATACTAAAAAGTGACACTGTAATTTATAATTTCAACAATATCTATTTCACAATTTGGCATAGTAAGGTACAAAAAAGTGTCATTCTTTATTATTTGTCTAGATCAAATTTAAATGTCCTATTAACTATAAAGTTTCTATATATTCTTAACTAGAATATTTAATCATGTTTTATATACCAAACAATTAAGTCTCCACCAACACAATTATTGTATTTTGAAAGTATATCACAGTTTCCAACCCTCGATGAGATGGATTGATTCAGTGACTGGGGTAGTGGGGGTAGGTGTGTCAGAGGCAATGAGATTGGCACAGGATAGAGCAGGGTTTAGGGCTGTTGTACATAGAGTCACTATGAGTCGCAGGTGACTCAATGGCACATAACAACAACAATAACATAGTATGATCAGTAAATATCAAGTTTTGAAAACACATGGTATGAAATTTCTACTCTGAGTCATTAAGATTTCTATGAAACCCCTTCTGTTTTTCCTACTTGATCTGCTCAGTTTCCACAGTGTTTCTGCGTCCTAACCACTCTCCTTGTCTGTCTTCCCATCTCAGCGCCCCGTGGCCCCTCTCTGTGTCTGTCACAGCACCCCTGACTCCTCCTTGTGTCTTCCCGTCTCAGCACCCAGTGACCCCTCTCTGTAGATGGGAATCTCCTGAAGCAGCGCTCTCATCCAGGGCCTCCTTTGTTCATAACCCTTTGATGGCAACTTGCCGCTTCCACACACACCGCCCACTCCAGGCAGGCTGCTCTCACCTCATCACTTCCACTGTTCAACCTGAAACTGCCACTGGAGAGCCTGGTCGCTGGGCATGTCTGATGCTCCATCACCTGGTAATGCTAGGTCCCCGGACACAGACTGTCTGTACCCCTCCTCCTCTCTGGCTTCCACCCGTTAGCCTCACACTTCATTATCACACCGTTCTTTTCAAGCTTGTTTGAACTCTTTATTGTGATTTGAGTGAGTCTACAGAGCAAACTGCTTTTCCAGTCAACCATTCACAGGCACTGTGCTTTGTGACACTGATTACAGCCCTCTTCCCACTTCCTCCGTGTAATTCTTGTTTCCATCATACATCCTATCCCTTCCTGCCTTCTGAGGTTTACCTGGGAGTTAAACTATGCTCTTTGGGTCCAGCACGAGTGATCACTGGAAGAAGTGCATATCTCCCTGGTGCTACTGTTGGCCTTGTAAGCCTACAGGCCTAAAAGCCAAACAGGTGCATTGCTTGGCTTAAAGCCGAAGCACAGGGAAAATTCAGTTCCAGAAGAAAAAGGTGTTTAAGGGCCTCATTCCCAGGGGATCCAACCCTCTCTCCAAGAAGCAGCAGCCTGGTCATTCTCGTGATTTGGAGTTTTGTTCTGCATTTCGGTTGCACTCTCCCCAGGACCCTCTATTGTATTCCTCTCAGCATGGGCAGCAGTGGTAGCTGGGCCCCCTACTTCTTTACCTCAGGCTCATGGGGGCTGAGAGTCACATGGCCCAACAGTTCTCTGGATTAACTGTGTCCATGCCCCTTCAATGTCTTCACTCTTCTTTGCTCCAGGGAAAGGGAGAGCAGTAGCTGTCCCTTAAATATCATCCTCCAAGACTCCACACAGAAGTCACCGTGACCTCTCTCTCCTCTCAGCTTTTAAATATTGACCATCCTGTCCTAGTTACAGTAATGTTCTAGAGAAAGCTGTCACCGACCTAAGCCGGCTAATGGAAAAGATTATTTAAAGTGGGCAGTCATGAAAAAAGGATGCTGATGTCAAACACTTTAACGTAAGCGGACACGAATGTGAATCCATTTGCCATATGAAGGAGAACCCAGGCCCATTTCTCTGAATATGGGACAGCTAACAGGAGTCCACCATCTGCCTACGGAAATCACACCCAACCCTACCATTTTCAATATTCTTTTCTCTGACACGGAATGAAACGGGGAGGGTTTAAACTCGCTTGCCCAGTTACTGGATCTAGAACTCTTTTAGGTATCATGGTACCTTTTCTAACTTTCACACTGAACTCAATCTACCATCTAATGATAATTTGATTATCATTTAGTAACAACTTTCAAAGTCTTACCTTTCAGATTCCATAACAGCAGTCTTTTCATATTTCATTTATTTATGTAATAATGAATTGAATATGTTGTTCACTAGTTACTGGCTACCGGCCGGCTCTTACTCCCTGCCTGAGACCCCTTGCATACCAGAATCGACACGTCTTTCACCAGTTAATTTTCAGAAGCAGATGGCCAGGCCTTTCTTCCTTCCCAATCAGTGTCTCAGTGCACCACTGTAGCCTGTTCATCCTCACTTAACACGCAAGCCTCCACTGGCCGATGACAGTGACTCAGCTTGAGAGCCGACCATCAAGAAGACAGGAAGCAAGGGGGCTCCCGCTGAATCACCTCTGACCAACCAGTGAAGTTATGAAGTGACGACTCAGCGCCACCAACAAGCACAGCTCGGGAGACGACACCATCCACGAGGGGGTTCTGGTGGTGGTATCCGTAGGGGACTAGATCGCTAACCCAGCTGGTTAGTTGCACTGACTTATTTGATGGTTTAAATCCACCAGCAGCTTCTCAGGAGAAAGATGGCCCATCTCCTCCCATGAGATTGGGAAACGCAATGGAGGTATGACTATGAGTCAGCCTGAATTACTGTCAGCGAGGGAGGGAGGGAATGATTGAGTGACTTGATAAATGGAAAAGTTGGGGAGCTCTGGTGGCCTAGTGGCAAGAAGCTGCACTGCAGTCCCAGAGGTGCATGGTTCTAATGCACCAGATCCTCTGCTGGGGAAGGAGGGGCAATAACCTCCTCCTGTCAGATCTGATTTGATGGTACGCCCACAAAAA